GCAGACTGAAGCCAACGAAGAACTGGTGATCTTTCGATATCAGGGGAGAGTAAGGGCTTGCGGAGGCTGCCTCCCAGACTTCGTTCAGAGACATGAGGATAAATTAATTAGACTTCAAATCGAGCAAATATCAATTATCAGACAGCTTATACAGCAATTGATGTCTGTAATGGAAAAGAACAACTAGCCTACACTACTCCGCCATCGCAGAGCTTCTAGATAAGAGGCAACGCGTCAAGCTTAGTAACTTATGGTCGATCTGGCCCAATCAATGTCGGATCAACATAGTACCGATCCAGGCCCTCCTTGTCTCCGCCTATAACGCGGAGACCGCAATTCGGCGCCACTTGGGAGTAAGGATGTTGAAGAAGACAGATCTATAACAGAAAACTCAAGCACAATATGCCGGCACTTACATCCGAGAGTGAGTCCGCGAGCCAGGCGTGTTGGTTTTGTGGTTTTCAGACTTGATTGACCATAGATACAGGTTCCAAGCGGAAAGCTTCGGAAGATGCGGCTTCTCCGGATTCTCAGAAACAGATTAAAAAGGCGCGCACTGACTCTCCTGAAAGAGAGCCAAAGGTTTGTCTCTACTTCGAACTCATTTCTGTCGCCCTTCTGACAGTGTTTGTTGTAGACCGAAGATGAACCTCTTGGAAAGCCACCGCTGAGGATCGTTCCCTTCCCAGAAAAGGTAAGCCTCGCCAGTGAATGTTGATTCGACGCGGCGGCTGATGTTCATTCCCCACAACAGCCCGCTGTCTTAGAAGAACGACGAGGTGAAATCGAGTTTCGAGTGGTCAATAATGATGGCTCGCGGGATAGTTTCGTCGTTCTTACCGGGTTGAAGTGCATCTTTCAGAAGCAGCTTCCAAAGATGCCCAAGGATTATATCGCACGCCTTGTCTACGATCGTTCGCATTTGTCTATTGCCATTGTGAAGCACCCATTAGAGGTTGTAGGGTACGTGTGGGAGAAATGGCTTGATTGGTTCTTGAAGAGCTCACCAATTGTTGTCTAGAGGCATCACCTACCGGCCGTTCAATAGCCGCAAATTCGCGGAAATCGTCTTCTGTGCCATATCTTCGGACCAGCAAGTCAAGGGTTACGGTGCGCATTTGATGTCACACTTGAAGGTATGGCTGGGAACTAAAGCCGCAGCAGGAGTGGTAAGCTAACTGTAAGAGCAGGACTATGTGAAAGCGACCTCGCCCATCATGCATTTCCTGACTTATGCGGACAACTATGCGATTGGTTATTTCAAGAAGCAGGGATTCACCAAGGAAATCACGCTCGACAAGTCTATATGGATGGGTTATATCAAGGATTACGAGGGAGGAACCATCATGCAATGTACCATGCTCCCCAAGATCCGATACTTGGAAGCAGGTCGCATGCTTCTGAAGCAGAAGGAAGCGGTGCAAGCCAAAATCAGGGCTTTCAGCCGTTCGCATATTATCCATCCTCCGCCAAGGGAATGGAAGAACGGAGCTTGCAAGATCGATCCTCTGAGTATCCCAGCCATTAAGGAATCCGGATGGTCACCAGATATGGACGAATTGGCGCGGCAACCGCGCCATGGGCCGAACTACAATCAGCTCCTGCACTTGCTCAACGACATGCAGAACCACAGTGCTGCGTGGCCGTTCACTCAACCTGTCAACCGCGATGAAGTTCCTGATTATTACGAAGTCATCAAAGAGCCAATGGACTTATCGACGATGGAAGAGAAGCACGAGAAGGACATGTACCCCACCCCGCAAGATTTCATCAAAGATGCCATGTTGATCTTTGACAATTGCCGGAAATACAACAATGAGAACACACCATATGCGAAGAGCGCGAATAAATTGGAAAAGTTTATGTGGCAGCAGATTCGCAACATCCCGGAGTGGTCGGTAAGTATTTTTCTTGGATAATCCTCCTAGAGGGAAGAGCAACTCGTGCTGACTTTGTCATAGCATCTGGCCGATGGGCACTGAGTATTATTTGATGGTTGATCCATCCTTTCCTGATCTTGAAGCGATGGAGTTTGGTTTGGTTGGCGTTTATTTGTGCTATTTAACGAACAAATACCCAATGGATGCATGGGGGAGCATTTTGGCCATTTCTATCTAGCATTCGGTGACTGAACAAATGTTATGGCAATATCACAAACATCACTTTGTACATTCCTCATTCTCTACCAGGGAGACCGCTACTGTAAGCTTTATTGCCCAGGCGCCGAGACTAAAAGAAAGGCTGGAAAGCAGTCCAATCCGGCAAGGAAGCTTAGAATTCAGCGAACAGCTGCATTGAGAAGAGATATGATCTATCACAACATGTGAGTTTGACGCTGCCCTTTGCTTCTAGCCACCAGATGATTCTAACATCATAGTTCATGCCTCCCTTGCGTGTTAATCTCGGCCAGCAGTGGAGAACGTGGTGAGCTGCTGATGATCATTAGCTGGTGGGTCCTTCATTTCGGAATAACTTTGCGGCGGGCCGTTTGTTGGCTGCGGATCATGAAGATGGCAGGTCAACAGACAACAAGAGATGGACATGACTATTCTAGTATGAGAAAGTTGCTCTGCAGGTGGTCGGGGCAATCGACCGTCCTTCTTTTGCTGTTAGAATCATCACTATTATTATAATATCGCAACGCGTGCCCTGTTACTCCTTGTCCTTATTGTCCGGCTTCTCGTTCCCAGTGGGCGGCTGGAGGATTGTTACTTTAAGCCGTCTTTTCCCACTTCAGGCGGCGCTCTCCAGGGGCTCCTGAGCCTGAAAGTCCTAGACTCTCGAATCTCTGTCGTTCATTGCGCTGATGTCTTAATTTGGACTAAATTACCTCCGGTCATTCGTTAATATTCTACTTTTTTGCGATCGTTCAAATCGTGAGCTGGCCATCTTATTCTTATTATTGAGACGTTGGTGGAACAGTAAACACGGGCCACTCCTATTCTTGGACCGACTCGATATCTTCCATCATTTCCGACTTTTTCGCTCTTGACCTCACGCCAATTTTCACTCGTTTGGATCATCTATTGGATTTGCCTTGTTGGTTGTCTATCGCTCTCGCTCACAATGGCGTCGCCGTCACTTTTGGACTTGGAGCCGAGGAATCGGCTCCCCACTCTGTTTGAGGTCCTCAGTCGTCGCACTTTGGCTCCTGTCGATCTATTCTCTTTCTACATATACATGCGAGACCAACAGCGCTCGGTCGATTACTTGGATTTCTGGTATGCGCGAGATCTATCCCTGAATAGTGCGGCGCATGAATCACTGGAAAGTTCTGACCTCGAAGTGAAATAGGCTCGATGTATCGCAACATATGTCGCTATGTCGCCATTATGTCCGCGAACTGCGTCGGTCTGTCTTAGTTGCGACGCCTGATCTTGAAAAAGCAGACAGTAAAGGCTCATCCGCCGCTTTGGATAACTTGGAACATCTTGGCGATATCCCGCTTACAGAACCTGGTCCCTCTGGCTTTCGCCGGGGCTTTCGTGATTACGACGACAAGGACGCCGATCAAAGGCTGTCGGCCTTCCTTCGCTCTGATGGCCACACATCCCAGCATTCGCCGCAGAGTAGTCTCGGGTCGCAGAACGCTGCTCGCCTTCCTTCCAATGAACAACCGCCTCGTCCAAGCTCCGGGACACAGAACGAATCGAATTCTCCTGGCCATACAGTCACACGACATGATATTCGCGCGTCTGCAGAAAAGATTCTCTACACGTATCTACTACCCGGTGCTGAAAGAGAGATCGTTCTCCCGGAGGAAATGGTATCAACGATAATCAACCTGATTGAGGATGACGGGAGAGACGATCCAGAAGTGTTTGACCCCGCCAAAGACTATGTTTTCCAAGCAATGGAACGCGACGCATACCCCGGGTTTTTGCAGGCAAAAGCCTTGGGTAACCTTGTGCCATTGACCGTTATGACTCGCTTAGCTTTGGCTTTGATTAGCTTTGGCGGTGGTTTCTGGGGCGCCTTCTACGTCGTCCTCCGTGACAAGCCACGGCATATTCGTTGCTGGGTAAGTCCTACTTTCATGATCCTTGTACGCTTCTGCTAATGACGGACCAGGTGATTTTGCCTTTTATTGTGGCTGCATATTTCATCGCTTCGTACCAGTATAAGATCGACCCGGTAATGGCGTATTTGGGGTACAGTGAATACACGTTCATGAACTGGGCTCCAATCCGCGAGCCTTATGTTCGTAAGCTCCTAAATAAACGAGCCACTGCAACGTTATTCATCGCTCTACTTGTCGCTGCCGCGCTGAGCATTCTGTTCATTTTCGTTCCCGGTACTATGCTCTGATTTGGTCATTTTCAGTCTGTTAGGCATGCGTCCGCTCTACCAGGCCTCGCCTTCGGACGCCCCTCTGATATTTTGAATAATTCTGGCAACTATGATTCTGTCATGCGAGCCCAGATGTCCCACGCGGGACCACACCGCAGTGCAGGTCTTCTTTTTCGGCCTGGCAAAGCAGCTGTTGCATAGGCTAGCCACTCGGTTTGTTCTCGGAACCGACAGTTTAGGATATCCTCATCCAAGCTGCGCTATGTTGAGCCCTTCCTCAGGCTTGGAAAGATTCGAGCAAAACGCGGTACATCCTTCTGGCTGATGCCGCGTCGTTCGGCTCAAGGCCACGCCGTACCAGTCCCTGTAGCCACAACAGACTCTCCTTGCCGCTTCGTGTTGTGAATGTTTCCTTCTTGATTGCTTCTTAACCTCTTCATCTTCTTACAATACCCATTTCTGCCTATTCTGCATGATGTTCAATTTCAATGACTGCCGGTGGTGGAACTTTTTGGTGTTCAGGCATTGGTCTGCTAATCTGCTATAATAATGCAAGTCTTAATGGCAAAATATCCTCGATAAGATGCTGGTTTTGCATTTCGTAAGTAGCCTTAGCATGATGGGTCTATGCAGTAGAGTAAACCACCCGGAAGAAGATACTTCATGAGTTCGTAATGACCATTACAGGTCCACCGTCAGCGGCTCCTACATTAGGATTTCTTTCCCAAGATGCGCTTCGCATGTCTCGCGCCAGCCCCGCTCAACCCGAATCTAGAAGATCCCGCGCTCTCATCAATGTCCATACGCGAACCAGCCGCGTTCAAATCGATACCGCCATCGTTGCCATTATCCCAGTACCCATCATCCTCATCATCGTAGTCATCAGCGTTGAACTCGCGCTTATTGCCACCTCCCTGGCCAAACCGCTGCGCTCCGCCGAGCCTCCTGGACCCGGACCCGGACCCGCCTCCCGCCGCGTCCTTTGCGCTCCCATCAGCGGAGGCCAGCGCTTTTTCAAGCAGAGCAGCCCGCGCCTGTTCTTTCGCCCTACGCTTCGCGGCATTGGTCTTGATCTTGGCGATCTCGGCTTCGATGTCGCTGATGACGTCGCCGCAGCGGCTCTCCCACTGTGTCAGGAGTGAGATCATCGTCGGCAGGGATTGGGGTTTGATGTCGCGGAGGGGCGCGACGGACGTCACGTTTACGAAGGGGGGGTTGGAGGCGGGGGAGAGGCGGGCGGTGATGAGGGAGGAGTAGATGGCTTTCGTGACGAGGGATTCGAGCTCAGCGGGGGCTGAGATGGAGAGGGCGTCCATGAGGGTCTTGTAGGTGAGGGGCTTGAGTGTTGCGGAGAGTGTGAGGAGCGAGAGGAGGCGGAGCTTGAGGGCTTGTTCGGCGCTGAGGCTGGGGAGGTTGGGTGTTGCTGAGGGGGATGTTAGTTGCTATAAGCCTAATGGTTCAGCTTGAAGGGCTGGCGTGCTTACTTTGGTAGTCCTGCCATATTCCCCAAGCGAAGATTTCCAGGAGGGTCAGGTAGCCTTGGAATTCTTCTGGGGTGTTTGGTGAGCGGAGGGCTTGGATTGTAGGCGTTTCCAGCAGCTCGGCGAAGACGTAGGTGTGCGGGTTTGAGGTTGCATTTGTAATTAGGTTGGCAATGAATCGCGGGGAGGTAGCACTGTTTGAGTTGGCCAAGAGGATGAAGGGTTGCAGGGCCTCGATGGCCCGAGTATGTATTTGATCCATTTGAGCTTGGTTGTCTGGTGCTTAATGGAGGTCAGCTGCTGTAGCCTGTAGCTCATTTGGCGAGACAGTCGAGCGCAAACCTACATTCAACTGGAAACTTAGATGTGAGAGACTAAGAGTCGTATGCGAGACTCGGCACCGGAACTGTCTCTGATAGAATAGTTGACTGATAACAGTGGGGATGTTGATGGTGAGTGATGCTACCTATCCAGTTGTCATCCGAATTGGGGTTGTTTGTTTGTGATGCAAACAAGATCTGTCACCCAAAAGATTCCGGCTGGGATTCAAGCAGAACTCTGATCATAATCTCCAGACCGAAACGAATACTCAGCACTATTCTAGGATGGTTGATCACTGATGCTACATTCAATCTCACACTATTGGCACTGCGAATGGAGAAGTTTTGGCACTCTAATTTCCTTCTCCTCGCCATTATGCAGTCTTTTGCTTGTTATCGTTGACGCCTGGGAGCGTGAAGGAGCAAGACCATAGTTCGCACAAAGCTTGTGAAACTTGAACGGAAACGGTATCTAGACTTTGTGGACAGGACTCGTCGAGTCCTGGTTCATTTAAGGTGGCTATCTGAGGTGTTAGACTGTATCATGACTAGTAGAAGCGTTTACTTGAAACTGGACAACATCCCAATGAGGATAGGGGTTCTGGGTTTGTTTCATGATGGCCCAATCGTAAGTTGTACTGCAATTGCACATGTCACCTGCAAACAATCATCCTCATTATTGGGACTTTTGCAAACTTGAGACTATCCTTGATAATTGATCAATAGTGTAGTGTCCGCACAGCAGACTCATCACGCAGACAGAATAATAATCAATAGAGCCAGATATGAGAATCCCGGTTAGCCTTTTTGGGTTGGAGAGCTGAATTACCGAGTCAGACCCCATTCCACCAAGCGCTGATCAAGGGAAGAGAACCAAGGAGCGGTGATGGTCCCCTTGCATATTGAGTCAAGCATTGCAAATGTGTGACACTGCAGCTTCATCGCTGTCAGCCCACAAGGATTGTGTACAGACTTGGGAGTTTCTGATTCAGAAAGGATCGCAAGTATGTGGCATTATTGGCAAAGCATGAGAAGCATTCTTCATAATAGTATCTAGATATGTGCGTGAATACTCTGTACTTTGTGCAAGAAAGGCCTGCTCTGTGACAGAGGCTGATCGAGAGGAACTAGGAGTACTGGATGGAGTAGATGAGTAGACTGGGCCTAAGCTGATTAGATGGACATTAATAATAGCGCCAAACGGCCCAAACCACAGCCATTGCCGCTGATTGATTGCGTTTTAATTCTTTATGCATTATGGGCCTCTAGCCAAGACTTTCCGGCTGTTTCTTCCAGTTGCCCTCAAGAAATTGATAACCAAGGAGGAAGGGATGAAATGATATGCCCTGTCGGACTTCCGACCACATCCGTCCCTGGGCTCCATTCCGTTGGTCTTTTGTCCGCTATTTATCTTTGACGTCAACCCAGCTCGCTGTAGGCGCTGGCTCCTGGTCTCTCTTTTCATACAGTCTTGGTCTCACTTCCCTCCCATAACAGACCCTCATGCGGTAACACACAGCAGTACAGCTTCCGTTGCGTAGCTTTGGTGAAGTCAAACCCCGCGCGATGGCGGCCTCCGATCTTGTACGCGCCCACGATAGTGGCTCCTCCGCCGGCCGATCCCCAGCGCATATGGCGACCACAACAGTCAAAGTGGATGGAATGACATGCGGGGCATGTACTTCCGCTGTTGAAGGCGCCTTCAAGGGTCTGGAAGGCGTAGGAGAGGTGTCAGTTAGCTTGATGATGGGCCGAGCCGTCGTCCATCATGATCCGACCATAATATCTGCGGAAACAATAGCCGAAAAAATCGAAGACTCTGGTTTTGATGCTGAGATCATTTCCACTGACGGCCCGTCGATACAAGCCGATATCCCCAGAGATGCGCAGGATCCGAAGCCGCGATTTTCGACCACGACGTTGGCGGTGGAAGGGATGACGTGTGGTGCCTGTACGTCTGCTGTGGAAGGAGGACTCAAAGAAGTCAGCGGCGTCAAATCGATCAACGTCTCATTGCTATCGGAACGGGCAGTGGTGGAGCATGATGCTTCCGTGATCACGCCGGAACAGCTCGCGGACATTATCGAGGATCGTGGGTTTGGCGCGACGGTTCTGGAAACCTCAAAGCCGCAGGACGGTCCTCGAGGCTCGCAGGAAGACGCAGACGCTACATCGCGCCTCATGAACACAACCGTCTCTATAGAGGGCATGACATGTGGCGCTTGTACATCCAGCGTGCAGAGTGCATTCGATGGTGTTGATGGTGTGATTCAGTTCAACATCAGCTTACTTGCTGAACGCGCTATCATCGTCCATGACCCTACTGTTCTCTCAGCCCAACAAATCACCACAATTATCGAAGATGCGGGTTTTGATGCAGCTATCATTTCTTCAGAGCCTAAACTGTCTACGTCTAGCTCTATGAACAGCGTAATCCTGAGTTTACACGGCTTGCGCGATGTAGTGGCGGCAAATGATTTAGAAGACTCCCTTCTCCGGAGACCGGGGGTCTACTCGGCGTCCATCAATATGGGCACATACAAGCTTGCAGTCTCGTATGATTCTGCGAAAATTGGGATTCGTACCATTGTGGAGGCGATTGAGGCTGCCGGCTACAATGCCTTGCTGTCTGAGTCGGACGACACTAACGCCCAATTGGAATCTCTTTCCAAAACCAAGGAGATCCAAGAGTGGCGACGTGCATTCTTGTTCTCTCTCTCATTTGCGGTGCCCGTCTTTGTCCTCAACATGTTGCTTCCCATGTATCTACCGCAGCTCGACTTCGGCAAGCTCCCATTATGCGCAGGCGTGTACCTCGGAGACGTGCTATGTTTGTTGCTCACCATCCCCGTACAGTTCGGTATCGGAAAACGATTCTACCTGAGCAGCTACAAATCACTCAAGCATCGCTCACCGACTATGGATGTTCTTGTCATGTTGGGCACATCTGCGGCTTTCTTCTACAGTGTCTTTATCATGCTTGTAGCCATGTGCACAATGGCTGACAAACGGCCCAGCACCGTCTTTGATACAAGCACCATGCTCATTACCTTCATTACACTCGGAAGATGGCTAGAGAATCGGGCTAAAGGTCAAACGTCAGCCGCTCTCTCGCGACTCATGTCCCTGGCTCCGTCTATGACGACAATTTATGATGATCCTATTGCCGCTGAGAAGCTCGCCGAGGAATGGGAAACCGCCAAAGTTTCCCCCGATGAGAAGAAGCCGGCATCATCAAGCGCGGAAAGATCTGGTCCAGGTCACAGAGTAATCCCAACTGAGCTCATTGAAATTGGCGACATAGTTGTTCTTCACCCTGGTGACAAAGTTTCTGCTGACGGGGTCGTCGTTCGAGGCGAAAGTTACGTGGACGAAAGCATGATCACTGGTGAAGCGCTACCCATTTATAAAAAGAAGGGCAGTGCCGTCATTGCTGGAACTGTGAATGGCACTAGTTCGATTGACTTCAAGGTCACCCGAACCGGCAAGGACACTCAGCTCAGCCAGATTGTGAAATTGGTTCAGGACGCGCAGACAAGCCGGGCTTCTATCCAGCGGGTGGCGGATATTGTTGCTGGCTACTTCGTTCCAGCTATCATCAGTCTCGGTCTCATCACGTTCTTTGGTTGGATGTTCGTTAGCCACGTTTTGTCCCATCCTCCCAAGATCTTCGTCGCCGAAGGCAGTGGCGGAAAAGTCATGGTTTGCCTGAAGCTTTGCATCTCTGTCATCGTCTTTGCTTGTCCATGTGCATTGGGCCTCAGCACTCCAACAGCCGTCATGGTTGGTACTGGCGTTGGTGCGCAGCAGGGCATTCTAGTCAAGGGTGGTGCTGTGCTTGAAGGCGCGACTAAAATCAACCACGTCGTCTTTGACAAGACTGGCACCCTGACTACGGGGAAGATGACTGTTGCCGAGGCCAGAATTGAACGCCAGTGGCATGAAGGGCGTCGTCGACTTTGGTGGTTGATCGTGGGTCTCGCGGAGATGAACAGTGAGCACCCTATCGGCAAGGCCATCCTCTCAGCAGCAAAGGCGGAATCAGGCCACTTCGAGGGCGATGGACTACCAGGCAGCTTGGGTGACTTCAATGCCCATGTTGGTAAGGGAATATCTGCATTGGTTGAGCCCGCGTTCAATGGAGAACGAACAAGGTATCGTGCTGTAATTGGCAACGCCGCTTTCTTGCGGTCTCAAGGTGTATCGGTTCCTGAATCTGTTGAAGCTGAAGATCAGCCCACCGGCAGCCCGAAGACTACCGCTGGCATCACGCAGATTCATGTGGCCATTGATCACCAGTTTGCCGGAACTATCTTCCTCCGCGACACTGTGAAATCGACTGCCGTGGCTACGATCGCTGCTTTGCATCGCATGGGACTCAAGACTGCGCTCATCACTGGAGATACCAGGTCTACTGCCTTGTCCATCGCTTCGGCCGTTGGTATACCCTCTGAATTCGTTCACGCCTCTGCCTCCCCGTCCGACAAACAATCCATAATCGCTTCGATGCAAGAATCCGGTGACCGCGTCGCCATGGTAGGCGATGGAATCAATGACTCCCCGGCTCTGGCAACCGCATCAATCGGGATTGCTCTCGCTTCGGGGACGGACGTCGCCATGGAAGCCGCCGACATCGTGCTCATGCGGCCGGATGATCTCCTCTCCGTCCCCGCCAGTCTATCGCTCTCTCGCACAGTCTTCAGACGCATCAAGCTCAATCTCATGTGGGCCTGCCTCTACAACGTCATCGGCCTTCCCTTCGCCATGGGTCTCTTCCTGCCCTTTGGCGGCTTCATGCTTCCCCCCATGGCCGCCGGCGCGGCAATGGCAGCATCAAGCGTCTCCGTCGTCGTCAGCAGCCTGCTCCTGAAGTTCTGGAAACGTCCAAGATGGATGGACGCCGAGAAGCTGGAGAAGGAAGCCCAGCTCGGCGGCGCCCGGAAGAACTGGTGGGCGGCTGCACTCTCTGTCTCCGGTCCTGGCAGTCGTACCGGCTGGTTGGGTCGGGCCAGGCGGACAGGCGCGAGAGTCTGGTCGACTGTCACCGGACGGAGTCCGAGAACGATAGACACCAACGATGGCTATGTCCCTCTACAGGCGGTGGAGCCTGTCGTTTAATTACCTGTTTCTCTCTTTGCATGTTTTTGGGTGCTTTGTCTCATGTGCATTGTTCATAGCTAGGATTCGGCTAATGGAGTACCTACATGATGGATGTCTTTTTACGGCTATCATTATAATGAATGGCATAGACATATATGGTTTTCGAGGGTCTAACAGATGTTGTTTGATACGAGTATCTCTACAACTGCATCGCTAGTATTATGCAAAAATCCAAGGATACGAGGCAGCAGTGTCTGAATCCATGGAATAGTCCTGCACTCGCACATAGTAAAGTCACTTCATATCATTCATCGTTGAAGGCCAATAGTCAATATATGACCTATAGACTGTCGCTCATAGATTTCCTGATCATCATTATATGAAACAATGCGAGCCCAAGAAACACAATCAACGCAAACAGCGTCTAAAAATCCTTGTTCTCAGTCGCCTGGGGAGTTTCATTAGCTTCTGCCTCTGCAGCTGCTCCTGTTGCTGTTGTAGCAGGAGCCGATTCCCCAGCCTCTTTCGCATCGTCAAGCCGGATATCCCCGTCGCTGTCTGCATTTGCCCGAGACGCCGGTTTCTGGTTCTCGGTTTGTTCCTTAGCAGTAGAACTAGGTTGTTCGGTCTGTGCCGACGACTGATCCGCAGGCGCATTTGTGTCTTGCGCCAAAGTCATCTCGACTCCCTTGCCGTCCTGCAGGCCCATATCCTCTACTCCTAAGATCGGCGGGCCCCGAGCGTGGGGGATCTCCTCGGACGAATCGACTGGCGGGGGGCTAGTACCACCCATAGTCTCGTTCTGCGCTGTCGTTTCTGAGGATTGGGCTTGTGCTATCGGATCCTGAGCCTGCTGTTGGACCTGCTCTGGCTGTGATGTTTGCGCGACCAATGATAATGAATCACCTGGGACGAGACCTACGAAGAACGAGAGTTAACAGGAATGGATGGAGACAAGTAACTGAGAGCATTACCTTCACTGAGAGTAGCTCCACCGTCGTTGCCCGGGGAAGATGCGCCGGTCAACCAAGGGATGGGAGTGAGCAAGGCCCCACCCAGGGACTCATCACTTCCTGGGGCATGATCTGGGAACATGAAACCATGCCCTCCTCCGTTCAAGACGCCGTTGACCTGACCAGCGCTGGTTTCTGTTTGAAGTGGAAATATATCAGCGGTACTTGTAACGGAAACGACTCGGTCGACGGCGCGCAGGTACGCAGGGAGAGTTCGATAGTGCGCATTAGGTCGGAGAACTAGTTCTGCGAGTCTCTGTATGGTGTGCGGGGGCTTCGATGCAAAAAATGTCTTTAATGTCGACTTGATGGAATCCAGCAATAACATAAGCGGTGGGGGGAGGGTATCGGTCGAGGAATCAACGAACGAGTGTGGTTTGGAGTCTGGCACACGCTCGCCCGAGGGAGGCGGCGTGGCAGCTGATGCGGGTATTGTCGACTGTGAAGGGTTTTCTGTCTCTGCTGGAGGAGTATCTTCTTTGTTGCTGCTCGGTGGCACTGAGTTGGGTTCTTGCGAGTAGGAAGATGGCTGTTGCTGCGCGGCTGGTGATTGCCTTTCGACGTGGAATTTGGGCATGGGAAACGCGTTGTATACATTCTACTTATCTGTCAGTCCTCATGAAGAGTGGATAGAAGGATGAGTAGAGCCTGCGCACATGTTCTAGTCGCTCGAGGAGAGGCTCGACCATACCGGGCCATTTGTCGCTGGACGAGGTATTAGCACTCGATCATGATATAGATAGACTGACAGATCGTTGCCCATACTAGGCCATTGAGCCGCTACTGGCGACCGTCTCTAAGCTTTCTTCATCTAGAATTGCAAAATGTCAGCGCAAGATAGCTCTAGTAGCTCATGGTGGCATTCCCAAAGCTGTGTTGCCAGGGATAAAAAGACTCCAACACAAAGCGCGCTCATGGACAGGTGATCATTTTTATGAGAGACGATCTAAGCAGCTTACCCAGTGACATTTTGACCCCACGCTTCCTTCTCGTCACTCTGTTGTCGAGGTAGTCCCCAGAAGCAAGTCGCTTGGTCTAGGTTAATTAATGCAATGGAATGCTATACGCGTGGGGAGCGGCTCTCCCGGCAGTCGAAGCTTGTAATTGGCTGCAGTAATCGCTTATCGGAGTATCACGTGACGGTTATCGGCCAATTTTTCGATGGAGTCACGAATGTCCCCACGGCGGGCAGACGGAGGGACCTTGTTTCACCCTCCCCAGACGTTGCAAGCACTGTGGTCTGGTGACTGACCTTTGGAGCAGATCAATTCTAATTTCCTAGCCTTCATTGCCAGTATTGTCAAAATGTGGAACTCTCCAAAGGTGGGAGTCCTCGGTGGAGGTCAGTTGGGACGAATGCTCGTTGAGTCGGCGAACCGACTCAACATCCAGGTCAATGTTCTGGACGCCCATAACGCCCCTGCGAAACAAATCAGTGCCCACGACGGTCATGTGACTGGCTCATTCAAGGAGCATGAAGCTGTGCGGAAATTGGCGAAGACCTGCGACGTTGTGACGGCCGAGATCGAGCATGTCGATACCTACGCTCTTGAGGAGATCTCCTCGGAGGTCAAGGTTGAGCCCAGCTGGCAAGCAATCCGAACAATCCAGAACAAATTCAACCAGAAGGAACACTTGCGGAAATATGGCATACCAATGGCGGAGCACCGAGAGCTGCTTGAGAACACGCCGGCTGAACTCGCCAAGATCGGCGAGCAGCTTGGGTATCCCTTGATGCTTAAGTCGAAGACGATGGCCTACGACGGACGGGGTTAGTGAAGAAGGCAGAACCCGAAAAGGCTATATTGAAGTTCTTGTAGCTAACAATGGACGCCAGGAAACTTCCGTGTCAATTCCAAGGACGATATCCCCGAAGCCCTTGAAGCGCTCAAGGACCGGCCATTGTACGCTGAGAAATGGGCCTACTTCAAGATGGTTGGTCTTTTATTCACTTCATAAGTGACTTCGACCTAATACCGACGCTCATAGGAATTGGCCGTAATGGTTGTGAAAACCAAGGACGCGGTCCTCTCATACCCCACAGTCGAGACAGTACAAGAAGATTCGATATGCAAGCTCGTCTACGCACCTGCCCGCAATGTCTCCGACGCCATCAACCAGAAAGCTCAGGAGCTAGCCCGCAAGGCTGTCGCAGCCTTTGACGGCAAGGGTGCCTTCGGTGTGGAGATGTTCCTTCTCGAAGACGACAGCATCATGCTGTGCGAAATTGCCAGCCGCATCCACAACTCGGGCCACTACACGATTGAAGGATGTGCCCTGTCCCAGTTCGACGCCCACCTCCGCGCCATTCTCGACCTCCCCATTCCCCCTCAGAGCCTCGAAATCTGCCAACCGTCCATCATGCTGAACATCATCGGCGGCGCAGCCCCAGATACCCATATTAAAGCCGCCGAGGCCGCCCTCTCCATCCCCAACGCCAGCATCCACCTCTATAGCAAGGGCGCCGCCAAACCCGGCCGCAAGATGGGCCACGTCACCGTCACCGCGCCCACGATGCACGAAGCCGAGAAATACATCCAGCCCCTCATCGACGTTGTTGACGAGATCCGCTCCAAGCGCAGCGACATCAAGACACAGCCCGCCAAGTCCGGCCCGTCGAAGCCCGCCCCCACCGTTGCCGTGATCATGGGCTCCGACAGCGACCTCAAGACGCTCGTTCCGGGCCTGAAGCTCCTCCGTGACTACTTCGGCATCGAGCCTGCCGTCGACATCACCTCCGCCCATCGCACCCCAACGTTCATGGCCGAGTACTCAGCCAGCGCAGCCGCGCGCGGTATCAAGGTCATTATCGCCGCTGCGGGCGGCGCCGCCCATCTCCCGGGGATGGCTGCCGCACACACCGTCCTGCCCGTCATCGGCGTACCGGTCAAGGGCAGCTCGCTAGACGGCGTGGACAGCTTGTACAGCATCGTTCAGATGCCTAGAGGTATGTCACCTTTCTTTAACATCTCTCTTGTTCCCGTGGACGGCTCACTAATCGTTCAACCCTACAGGTGTCCCCGTCGCGACGGTAGGAATCAACAACAGCATCAACGCTGCCCTCCTGGCAGCTCGTATCCTTGGCGCATTCGACCCGGCTATCCAGCGTAAGGTGGAGGCGTATGCCGAGCAGGCTAGACACGAGAACATGGAGCTGAAGGGGACCAAGATGCAGGAACTCGGATGGGAAAAGTACTTTGAACAGATGTAACAGAATCCAATAGCTAGATTGGATTATTGATGAGAATGGCTGAATGACTCTACCGACTTACGCAATATCAAGGAATGACAGAAGAACGAGACAAGAATTAGAGATTACGTACTCGAAACTAGTCATACAGATCATAGCGTGACAGCCACAAGACATCATACAAAGATACTGCAAGCACAAAACTCAGAAAGCGAAAACATGATATCTCAAAGCCAGTACATGCGACATCAGTCAGGAAAAAAGGAAAATATTGAAGGGAACGGGCAGACATTTGTCCTCATAGCTAATTTTACCTTTAAGCGGTCTGTGGGTTGAAGGCCTCAGGGGTGCCTCGGACGGTAAGCCCCTCAGCGGTGACCTTTGTAGCGGCCCCATTTTGATGACCGTTCGTGTGGCCATTGGGGGCGCCGTTGCTGAAGGCATTGTCCATTTCATCGGCGAATCCACGCGAGGGATATCCAGTCTTTGGATACCCGTCAGCACCGACCTGACCACCCTGGGTCGCTCGACCATCGGCTCCCTCTGTTGGTCGGCCATCGGGCTTCTCTCTGAGTCTGCCCTCGGCCGTCCGGTGAGGCTTGCGTTGGATGGAAGCGAGTTTGGGGATGTCCTTGGACTCAGAGGCACTGCCGATAGAGAAGATTGGGGATTCCCAGCGCTCTCCCTTGCGCGCGAGATCAGTGTATTCAGTAGCCTTGTTGGAGACTGCTCCAGGGAGCTTGATGTCTGGGAACATCGAGCCGTGAAGAGTAGTGACGGTCTGGATCTTGGTATCGCGCTGAGCAATTGCTTGAGCCTTTTGCTTCTTCTCGGTCAGCTTCGCGCGCGCAGCGTCCATGTAGCGCGAGTAGATGTTGGGAGCATTTGCAGGATCCTGCTTGGTAGCTTCCTTTGCACGCTGAACCTCTTGGTTGACTTCAAAAGCAAATGCATCACCTTTGACGAAAGCGTCATGGATCTGCTTCTCGAGCACCTTCTCCAGGGTAGGTCGAACAATGTTGAAGAGCATGGGCTTGAAGATGGCGAAGAGAATCTTGTGCTTGGACTTCCTCAACTTGATGTCGAGATCGTGAATCTTCACCGTCACCTTGTCCAGTTTGACAAAGTGCTGACGGTCCTCCTTATGAGCCGTGGAGGCCGCGATCTTGAACCCAAAGCCCTCGTTACCGAGGAAGATGTCCATGACGCCCATGTCTGTGATTGAAGGGAATCCCTGCTTCTTCTTGATATAGTAACTGACATCTAACGACGAGTTAGTAAGACATAACCTCTCAATATCGTCATGTTTCGATATTGAACCTACCTCTGAGATCGGCTTGAATACCGGATACCGAGATCATGATCTGAGCAAGGAATCAGTTTGAGCAACGGACATAACCGGATAACGCGTGACGAACCTTGTTGTCTCTCTTGTTACTGATGTTCTTCCGACCCCAGCGGAAATAGTTATCGCTACCAAACTCCACGACATTCGGCATCAGATTGTCACTCTCGATGACGAGATTCTCCACAACCTGTGAACATTGCAACGTTAGTCATCCGAAACCCTCAAGACAGTTCCTTGAAGCAGACTCACCACGTCGGCCATCGGATCGGACACCTCGATGCGAGGCACAGGGACATAGCGAACGTTCTCAAAGACCGAAGGTAAGATGACATCTCTGATATCTTTAAGCAGGTGCTTCTTGAAAGCGACATTGCCACTAGCGTCTCGACCAAGGTCATTGAAGAGCTTCTCCAAAGCTGAGCGGAATGCTCGATTCTGAGGGTCTTGATTGAACTGATCGCCTATGAATCTAATCTCATCAAGGATCCGATCGGTATGATCCTTGTAGCGATCGCGCAACAGGTAACGACCGTGATCGTACAATCGGTCCCATTCACGGTCGCAGTCCTCCTGCATGATGTAGCCTTGTTCTTGCAAGGTTTTCCTACTCGAGTCAGAATGATCCGTATAGTCTACCTTGGCGGTCAGCCTTACCGAATGAAGGTGTCCATGTTCTTGAACCAGCCTCTGAGTTCCGGGTCCCTGTCTGCATCGCGGTAGATTTTGTCAAGGGAATCGAAGAAATCATCCAAGGACGTGCTGTTTGCAAATCGTTCAATGAGAGTCTGGAAATAATATTAGCTTCACCGTCAGCGCTATTCTTCTGGTCACTCACCTTCAGATTGGTTTCCATCGATTTGATTCTCTCGTTGCCACGGAGTTCTTTTGTGGTTCCAGCACCTTGTTGGGAGATGTCCCTGGTGTGACGACCGTACTTCTCAGCGAGAGAAAGGAGGGTGCCAACAGCTTGCTGGTCTATTATAGGCCGCAAAGTTAGCGTCTATCCAAGCTTCTGATCTACGAATTGAACTTACAATCAGGATGACCCTGGATCTCAATAACCATCTTCTTCAATCGCCAGATAACTTGCTCGCGTCTCTCCTTCGGCATTTTCTGCTCCATGTAGCCACGAGTCCGCTCCTTGAGCTCCTGGGCCCGACTCTTCGCTTCTTCGGAGACATCCTCTGGGACCTTCTCTTTGGCCTTCTGGGCCGCCGAACCGACACCAGCCTGGACATCGACATCCTTAGCAGTGGCAGGGTCTTGGCCACCCGTTGCAGATTGTGTTGCAGTGTTTGCTACATCACCAGCTTCTTCCTATGGGAGAAGTGAGCATGTGAGCAGATAAGCTGTCAGAAGAGGATCTTACCTTGCTTTTTTGAAAGCGAGACTTGAGCTGTTCCTTGGGGATATCAGGCTTCTCGTGCCAGACATTCTCTTCAGCAGGTTGGTCCACTTGGGACAGCTGCTCCTGTGAAGGTCGAACCCTGTCGGCAGCTTGCTGCGAGACATCACCAGCCATGTCACGAGCAATGATCATAGCATCGTTCACTGTGAAGCGTCAGTACGGTACTTAACTCGGCACTGACTTCCAAATGAGTCCACTTACAGAGCTTTCTGAACTCTCCGTTTGTGATCAGGAGAGTACCCAGGGTTTTCAATCCTTCGACAGCCCTGTCGGCGTCCTGCTGGGCTGATTCTTTGCTCACTGGAACATTTGGCTGTACCGGCGCTTCGCCAGTGCCAATCTTTTGAGCTTCCCAGATAAAGTCTTGCAATAACTGGCCCTCATTCTTGCTAAGAATGAGTTTCTTAGCTTCGTCAATTATCACCCGGAGATCCTTAACCAGGGCCTGGCCCTCGCTGGACAGTTCTTTAGGAGGGGACGACAGGGCCTTGGAAGTAATGGCACTGTTTAAGGCGACATCACATTGCTTGTTCTATAGACACTTTATCAGTACTAGGCACAACCCACGCGCCTTGACGCATTTTGCGAGGATGATCCGTGGACTAACCGAGGGAAGCTTGCCGTTTTTGAAAGCTGTATGGTCCGTTAGCCTGAAACAATTGCTGAAGGATAAGTGCTCCAATCTTACCTTGATATATCCCGAACAACTGCAACTTCTGGTTGATATCCTGGAGCAAAAGATCACTGTCAGAGCACTTCGTTGGAAGTATGGGGTTGCATTGGTATGCGTACCTTTTCCTTTTGCTTAGTGTCCATAGGACGATTGACAGTTCTAGACGGCATGTTGAGGTCTGTTGGCACCGCTAATGGATGACTTGCGACCGACAATGACAATCAGACAATATTGAGATAGAAATTATGACTGCCACAAGAGCCCTCGATGGTCACTTGAGAAAGGGATAGATAAGCTCCGCTAAGCCTTTATTTTTCGGGGAAGGGAAGAGACGAGTAACAGACAGATTACTAGTATGAAGTGCACGAGAAAAGAAACAGATAACGAAGATCGCGTCACAGGGGTATCACCGGAATGGAGGACGCGAAAGGGGAATGTGTGTTCAGTTGAGGTATGAAGATCAGTGGTAAGGTAGACAGAACAACTATGGATCAAGAGTGATGTGGCCAAAAGTGTTTGGAAGTCGATGGATTGTGGTGACCTATTTAAATAGTTTTCTAGACAACTAAGATCAGATCAAGGGGACAAGAAGAGGAAAGAAAAGTTGTTCGTGGGTGACATCGATTATGACTGTTATTGATAGGGGGCTGCAACCCTTCCCTGGATGCTTGACGTCACCGTGTCGTGGGTTATCTGTATGCGCTGGGGGATAGCTACTAAGGTAGGGAGTACCTGAGGTGTCTGGGCAGAGGTACCTTACTTTTGCTTTTGGTCGGGTTCCTGAGCATGCTACGTAAGAGAAGCCTGTTCTTTTCTTGAAATTTGGTCCAGCATGTGCATATGAGTTCCGACGAATATGAGCTCATACATGATCTTGGCTGAAGACAATCAGTCAATCAATGGGAAGAGGCGACTAAACCAAAAGGAGGCAAATCATCATCTGTACTAGGTTATGAACAAGGACTATCTATTATGGCCGACTCGATAAAGTTCAGAGCATGACGAAAAGCTTGGGCTCTACCGAGCTAGCCATCGAGTCTTGACGATTCAACTTATATTCACACAAGAAAATGTACATGGTAGAGCCAAAGCCAGCTATCAATGCTAATTTCCCATCTGCATCAGCCCCCGGTTTACAACCCACAAGGCAGAAACAAAAGTGAAGCCTCTGCGCTCTTGTTGGCTCGATCCCTTTACGGAGTAGGGACTCGGCGTAGGGCGTACCCACTTTGTAGTTAGTCCCAGTAACCTTGAATCCAGAAGGCTTGGCACTGAGCATCGTTTTCCTGGCCGCCGACTAGCCACAAAGCACAAATTATCAAGTCTAGAGTTTTGAGGTTTACAAAGAGAGTAAGTTTGCAGCGAAAAATGTGAAATCATAGCTCCATTAGATGTGCTACTGGTCTATTCGCCATCCCGAGCAGGTTTCGACGCGCTGGGAATCTTTCCGCGATGACTTAAGTGGTCAAGGTCCAGACAAAGTTGTACTAGAGCTTTTTGTGGATCATCAGTCTGACGTCAAGAGTCGATCTGCCCACCACTTCAGCACTCCACAGTCCACAGTCTACAAACGCTGCGTACTAGTTACCTCTGGGACCTCTTATTCAGCCCAATGTTATGGTCAATTACAGGTATTTCTTCCGTCGAGTTTCCTGGATGGAGAAAGTGGGGCTGCAAAAAGCAGCTGTAAGTACCATGTAGAAGTGATCGCAATTTTGCATGCGCACCAAAATAGAAATGACAGCGGTTGAATGTTCCACTTCGTCCCCTATCATGCAATGCGGAAAAATGGTGAAACGGACGCACTATCGTCTCGGTGCCATGCATTTCGATGCCTGATTATTTACAGACTCCCATAATAGGCGCATATCTGCAGCCTAGAGTAGATGAATACAGGTTAACTCGCACTCAGCTGGTACCATGTCTGTCCTCGACACCCTTCTCTGAAGGACGACAAGGAGTACCTCAATGGGTAGGATCATTTATTTAGCGGACTAATATTCAGCTCTTTGATTCGTTCATAGACCATAATGGCCATGATGATACCCAGGATATCCACCACCCGCAGATGGGTGCAAGGGTGGTCCGGTCACATAAGGCCCTGCACCTGGAATGTAAATCGCGGGTGACTGCATGAGCCGTTTTCGAGCAGACGCTGAAATTGTCTGGAATGTGTCAAGAAGCGTTGCGATTCCCCATTTTCTAAGGCAGTACTGGAGAAGATCCTGGGTATAATCCAGGCATACGCTCGCTCGTGCATGACAGTTCGCGCGGTCCTTATTGTCGATCACGGGTGGTTCTGGTGTCTCAAAAGCGATGTTGGGAAGCGGTGGCACCGAGCGGTTCAGGACGAGTTCTGAATGTCGGTCCAAGAGGTCGAGAAACCAGCTACTGACCTGGTATGCTCGCTGAATGTCAAGATATGTCATCAGTGGCACTAAGCTCGGCGTTTCCAAAATCTGGTGAAGTTTGCGGATGTAATCCATGCAATGCTCAAACAACAGAACCTTCGAATAGTCAGATGTCCCGATAAATCGATGCATGGGCGACAAAATGATGACAGTCGTGTAAAGGGACTCCAGTGTATATAGAATAGTGAAAGGCCCTGCAGTGTTCTGAGGAGCATTCTCCAGCCATTCCTGGGCTTTGTAGCACAGGGTCCAGGTGGAGATCGCATTTGGGAGGGATGCCTCATTTTCGTATTCGTACTTATTATGATATGCAGTGGACAGTATTTGCCGGATTTTGACTATATGCCAAGCAGGTTGCGCACTGTGCAAAAAGACATCGCTTGCATCTGCAAGAGCAAAGCCAGGTGCTGTGGTAACTGAGGGTAAAGCGACATTGACAGACCCATCGGAGAAGGAAAGTGTTCTCTCCAACGCGGTGCTTACACCCCTGTTCTCACCCAAATCAGTAAGATTGAGCTCGTATCAGAATGATGTAGAGGCACAAACCTATCCAAGCAGTAGACGCAATGATAGACAATTCGACGAATATCTAAACGATCAGGAGTAGACAACTCTTCCAAAGGAGGGTCTTGATGCAAGCCAAGATCAACCATTGCTCGGACGGCCGTGCCTACAAGATACCAAGTACGAAAGTGGTTAGGGTCGAAAAAGGAATACTGGGCAAGCAACAGTATCCCCTGAATGCCAACCACGGATCCTGGGCGAAGAACTTCTTCGGCGTATTTCAGCGCCCCAGAAATCAAAGATAATGCCCTTTGATGATCTCCGTCGCCAGGCTGATACGACGTCGAAGCAGACGAGATGGCTAAGACAAGGCGTAAAATCCAATGATCAAATGGCTTGGCGAAACGACCACCGGACTGATATACAGCATCTACAGACGTCCAAAAACTTGTCTCGACGAAGAAAGGCAGCTGTGTGTATAGGTTGTCGAAATAATGGCGCAAAAGGGGTGTTATTTCATGGCGTGAGGGTAATGACTGCGATGATAATTTCGGCAGCGGCTCGGCAATTGCCAATGATAGTAGAAGATTGGCGAAAGACGTGCTCGAAGTAATACCGTGGAAATCTCGTGAGGTGGCATTGACCGACCTAGAACGGCTGGTCAGCAACGAAACAACGAGGGCAATCGAAGATGAACGGACAAAAAGCCGAAATCCCCAACTAGGTCGTCAATGTCGGAAACCTCTTTGCGATGTGATTGAGCGACACAATCCGGCGATGAAACCGAAGTGATAGAGCTTTCCCGGACAGTTCCTATTTCATCCGTTGATGAAGATTCCTTGCGATACCGCAGGCTTGCAATCTGTTTTTCAAGTCGCTCACAGTACCCCTCCAAGGACGCTACATAACTTCTCTCTTTTCCCCTAGCAAACTCGTCACTGGCGCCAGAGCAGGTGCTCGCTTTCCCTACTCTTTCGCACGCGGAGCAGGCAGGAAGTTTCCCATCGCATTTTATTTTCGCGGTTCGGCATCTTGAGCAAGCGGCAACCGGCCGACTAACTTTGAGAAGCGGTTTGTCTAGAAATGGGTTTGCCGACATTCTAGCATAGTATTACCTGGGCAGCATGTCAGAGGATCGGAAAACAGATTGCAACAGAGTATGACGCGTCTGAAAACACCAGGCGCATACCGAATGGCGGACGGACAGTGGCTGAGATTCATGTGAAATGCATGCAGCATGTCAGGTATAAGAACGATGGTTCTGAAATGTGGTCTGCCGAAGCAGTCAGAAGTCTTGCGAGCCAGGAGCGCGACCGAAAGAAGATCAAAATAGAGGCTGATTCATCTACTATTTTAATGACTTTGGGAATAAGGAATTCAGAAGAGATGGCAGAAGTACCTCGGGATCGATCATTAGTTGCTTTGACAGACTTGCTCTCAGCAGAACATTCGGTCACTGTGGATCTCTTTTGCTTTTCGTGACGATGTACTTGACGATGTACCTTTATAGTAATAGCGAGAAATTCAGAAGAGTAGATTATCGATGTCAATGTCAAGAAAAGCCGACTACCATATCCTGTGGAAATATTAGTGATATTTACCGACAAGTCACGAGGTTATCAATGGAGGAAGTAAGTAGCGGATTTGCTCCGCGTCGCAAGTCACTAATTGGGGTATCCTGAGGAGATAAGAAAGGGATAGGTTTAGGCAAAGCAAAGCGGTAAATGAACCCGGTTACCTCGACCAAAGGGGTACCCAAATGAAAAGTTCATGCCACCAACTGGGTCAGCCTGCAGTGGTGTGCATCCAACAAAGCAGCATGACCGTTATGCCGCGGGTAAAGGCAGTAGTAGTGTGAGCAGTCGATACGTCGTTGTAGATACAGTGGAAGTGGAAGAAATCATCATCTGCTGATCTTCTGCCTAGGCTGATTTGGCTCTTCCTCTTCCGTTGGGTTTCCTTTTTTCCCCACCTCTTAAGGACACCCCACCTTCCGTACTCCATACCCTCTCCACCATACCCAGCAGCTTATCTCTTCAGCAATGGAGAACTCTGCCGCTTTGCCGACAATCGAATACAAGAGTAATTGTCCTAATTTTCCTTCCGCGAATACTACAGGCGCCTCGGGGGAGATGATACAGCATGATTCGGGGGCTTCGTCCTGAGCTTCAGATGCATGCCACAGACCAACGCATATGTATATCCTTCCCCGGGCATCCCTCTTTCAGACAACGAGTCCTGTTCCCAATTAGGAAGCTTCAACATAGACGGCTGCCATGCCACGGCACTACCATCCTGGTTCTCTTGACTACGGTATTCTCGGATTTCCGGAACGAGAGATCAATATCAACAGCTGCTTTGCACCCCTTGTCTATAGTGCATGGTTGGTGCCGTGCATATCCAACACGCATCTGTTATACAGACCTTACGCCTGTCAACTTACACAGGTTCCAGTCTTGGTCTTGGCTGGTTGTCATTTGCGATCCAATTCCAATCATTATCCGGATGTCCTTCCTTTCACAGCAAGCTTACTTGGCCCTGCAGACTCGGGTTTCTAATGCTTCAGGGCCTCAATAAGAGTTTTCGAATCCCTCGTTGACGTTAAAGAGATATGGGTTAGGCACTAGCTTGGCCAGCTCAAACATCTCGGTCAGAATTTGAATATAGCGGGCCACAGACTTATTGGTCTCCCTAGCGCCATCCTTCCCTATAATCCCAAACTGAATCCAATAAGTATGTCCACCCTTGAAGTCTGTGTTTCCACATCTAGCAAAGGTTATCAGTAATTCGGATGCCTTCGATTCGGTGGAATACCCGACCAGTCACTTGTTGTAGCGAAAGGCTCGAACCTTCTGGTGGCTTGCTCGGAAATAATGCGAGCAAATTCATCCCCATTGCGGCGGCATCAAGAAACATAGTTGAAAGGCTGTTTGCTCCCACTCAAGGCTTTGAGAACCTCCGCAATTTGCTTAGTCACGGAAGTCTTATAACTAATTGAAGACTAAGTAGCATCCTCATATCAACCATCATGTAATCTCCCGAAGGACGTGGGCAGGACAGGCAAAAAAGCATAAGCGAGTCACTGGAAAAGTATTACACTGAGGACCGCAGTATATATTGACTTCACCAGGATCTGATTTCTGCCCGATTCAGGAAGCTCCAAGTCGTGAGATCTCGAGCAACGCTTGCCGCTGTTTAGCAACAATGCCTTCGTCATGAACCGGCAGAGACGAGCAATCAGAGAAATGTATAGTCGCAGTCGCAGTTGATGTTTCAATCAGAACGACCTGCTGCATCAACTTGGCATATAGCATGAATAGTCTCCTCAGAGCAACCCTTTCGCTGTGTAGAGCACGTCAACAACAGCTATGAATTTCAATAATACAAAGCATTCCTGCGAGGGAGCAATCATCCATTCAGGAATATGACCTAGTCCATATGGTTCGGCCAACCTCCTATTTGCTGAACCCGTATATTGAACTTGTGCAGTGGCTGGAGCTAAGCAATACCTTCCAGCAGCCCTTTGCCCATAGTTTTGAACGATAGAAACTTTCCTTATCGACGACCACGGTTGCTGGATAAAGATCAGAACCTCGTCGTCTCTATTGAATGACCTCCTCGCAACTTACAGCTATGGGTGATTGAATACGGCATATTTGGTCGATTCAGAAACCCTTAGCAAAAGCAGAAATAATTATCGTAATTTGCTATTGGACATCGACATAACGATGCAACAAGAGCACATAGATACATCTTGGACAGTTGTGAGCTTGAGCATCGGGGTGGGTGGAATAATAGAAATACTCACCTACGACTGGTTGGTCTCAGTGTGGTTAATGTTACCTCCCGCAGGTACGTAGCTACCTACTTAAAGAACCAAGTCGTTGGCTCATCACTTGACTTAGCGCCTTTGTGGGATCTGGACCGAGGAGGTACCACCACGCCCCTCCTCCTTGCATTCGGAGGATCAAAATATATACTGTGTCCGCTGAGCGCACAAAATAATAGAATTAATCGCCTGACGAGCGTTTGAGACCAGTCACGAGTGCTCCGATTTAACGTTCCAGACTGATGGTTTCCTCCGGGTGCTGCCGCCTACGCCTCCTTGCAGATGAACCCTGAATATGTCGACCGTGCTCTGTCGTCAACATTATTCTGCCGGTGCTCGAAACATCAATTGTTACTGTGGGTCTAACTTAAACTCAAGAACCCCTCACAAGGGCAGCTCCATGTGAAGGCATGGAAGCTGTATTGCGTAGCGCTTTGTGACTCGGAATCCCTTTGAACGTGCGCAACGACTCGTGGGCTGTCTACCCGACGCACGACCATGGCCACACATTCGAGTCCGCTGGAATCACATCCACGATTTACAAATCCGTGGAAGGAGCCATCCGTCAAATCTCCACAGCAGACAGGAGAAGCTCCCGACGGGCGGATTGCGCATACATTGACAGCGTGTACCAGGTGCCGACAGGTACGTTCCTTTTCGAGAATTCATCATCTTCCATCTACCCCGCCTGTCGAATTTCTCGTTCCTAAGCTAAGGGTTACGAAGCGAAAATCTAGGTGCGATCCAGGTATTCCGAGATGTTCCCCATGCGAACGCAGTAACGCCAAGTGCGTATACTACGATTCCGCCCGCAAGTGCACCATACCGAGAACATATATTATCTCCCTGCGCGAAAAAGCTCGCATGTTAGAAAAAGAATTGGCCGATCTGGAGAAAGATATTCAACATGCTGCAGATGCCGAGCTCATGGTCCGAGGGGCGGGGCGCATTCGATTCAAAGAGAATGATGAGTCGAGGTACCTTGGGCCATCCAGCGGTATCGCAATTACTCGTTTGGTCATGGAGATGGCCAAGCAGAACACAGACTCAAAAAGCATCAAAGATGTTGTTCCTGAGTTCACAGCACAGGAGATCAAAGCAGCATTTGCGCTAGAAAGCTCTAAACCGACATCGAAAGTCTACCCCATGATCAGCTCAATCCCTCAACCTAATCTACCCCCGCGTAATCTGACTTATCGACTGATTGATGTATTTGTAGTCAAGGGTGAGTTCTGCCTCTCTAAACCGACGATTCCTGGTGCATCTCGTTTGACCATATCTGCAGCGCAAGCCATGCTACCGACGCTGCACGAGCCTTCT